TGAGAATTTTCTTCATGATTTTTTCTGAGCACTCTGGTACTTCCATGGAAATCTTCTCATGTAAAATCCCATTCAAATATGCAGTAGTCACGTCGAATTGTTTTATTTCCAGTTCATATTGTGCTGCAATTGACGTGATCATTCGTATGGAATTTTGTCGTGCCACTGGAGCGAAGATCTCGTTGTAGTCTATGCCGGGACGTTGAGTGAAACCCCTTGCTACAATTCTCGCCTTCCTTTTCTCCAAAGTTCCATCAGCATTGTATTTGTTTCTCAGGACAATACGACTTCCTACAATTTTTGCTTTTGCTGGCCGATAGACTAAGTTCCAAGTATCATTCCTGATGATGGATTTCATTTCTGATGCCATTGCCTCCAGCCATTCCTCTGAGTCTTGTCCCTCCAATGCCTCTTTCAGTGGGATTTCTGCGAGTCCTACAATCTCATCTGCTTCCCCACCAACTTCTTCAGCAGCCTCCACGAGATGATAATTCAGCCTCGGTCTTCCCCTGAGTCCAGTGAGTATTTTACCAGGTCTTCCCCTTCCTCTCTTCATTTGTGGAACTGGCTCTAGAACTGGCTCATGATTTGGTTGAACGTCAACGCCGGGTCCAGGTTCAACATGACGATTCCCAGGTTCAACTCTGCCATTCGGATCTCCACCATCATGGTCTGAATCATGTTGAATCTCTTCCTCGTAGTCACTTTCTTCCTCTTCAGCGTCAAACCAGTCATCGAGCGCTTCCTCACCCCTGGTAATAGTTTCTCTTGTAACAGGATTCATCATGAATTCAAGGTCTCTTCCCTCTCGATTCTCCTTGGATCCCCCAGCAGCATCAGTAGTTTTTGGATTCATCCTCGAATTGATTCTGGACTCGTTCACGAATTTCTCGAATCCAAACTCTGTATGCCTTGGACTTCTCCGAGTATCCAACAAAGATCTCCTTTGTAGATTGAGCATCAAATTTTCCAGGGTTCTGCTCCCTCTTGCGCGTGTAGACGTTGCAACCAAATTCACGGAAGTAGGACACGTTTGGTATTTTTCCAGTCCACAGTTCATGTGCAGTTCTCCCATCCAATGCTCTCGAAGGACATCAATTTCGTGTGTAGTTGGCAGTATTGATGGCTTCACCCCAGAATGATAATGATAAACTCGACTGGATCAGCATACACCTGGCCATTTCAACTAAAGTGCGATTTCTTCTCTCAGCCAGCCCATTCTGCTCTGGTGTATGCGTCACAGTTAGTCTTCTTCCAATCCCATTCTCCTTCAGGAAGTCATCAAAAGCATAATTGACATACTCCTTGCCATTATCAGATTGTAGATATTTTATTCTCTTTCCAGTCTGATTCTCAGCGAGAGTTTTGTATTCTCTGAAAGCGGTAAAAACTTCACTCATCGATTTTATCAGACGTACCTCACACCATCCAGAGTACTCATCGATAAAAGTTACGAAGTATTTAGCCTTCCCATTTGATTCAATTCTCGCAGGTCCCCAGACGTCTGTATGAATAATCTCAAATAATTTAGATGATTTTCCTCCTCTCGTTGGAAATGGAGATTTTGTCATCTTCCCCTGAATGCAAACTTCACAGTCCAGATTTTCTTTTGATCCTCCAAGTTCAAGTCCCTTTATTTTTCCTTTCCTGTGACCCTCTTGAAGATCCCTGTACTTAAGGTGGCCCATTCTCCTGTGCCATATCTCTTTCGTATTCAATCTGGATGCATTTGCTTCAGCACTCTCGACAGAATTGTATTCATCAGTCTCTCCTTGATCAAATATAGGGCATTTGATCTTTCATCTTTGAGAATTACCTTTTCATCCTTATTGATAATTGTGGCGGAATGATCATCAAAAATTACTTTAAATCCCTGATCTATGATTTTCCCAACTGATAATAAGTTCATTCTCAAAGCAGGAACATATCCCACGTTTCTCAGATTCACATTTTTGATATTCCCATCCAACTCAGATGTCAGCCTTACAGTGCCCTTTCCAACAATTTCCGCCGATACATCGCTGGCTAGATTCAATTTTCCACAATTCTTCTTATTTAATTCAATGAAATTCTCTTCATTCTTCCATAAGTGTGAGGTGCAGCCACTGTCCAAGCACCACTCACTGCTGTTATCCAACGAGACTCCTCCCCACGCTGTTTCCTCCACCGATTCTTCACTCCTGGCATAAAAACTCTCTGTTTCTGCATTATTGACTTTATCCGAGTCTTTCTCCTTTTCGGGACAATTGACAGCCATGTGTCCCTTCTTGTGACAACGGTGACATCGATATGGAAACTTCTTTTCTCCTGAATTTTTATTCTTCTCGTTGGATTTCTTCTTAGCTAACATAGCATCCTGAGTTGCACTCTGTGACTCACATTTCTTCCCATCATTGATTGCCATGATCTTCACACGTAAATCCTCTGGTTCAGGTAGTGTATCTCGAGATTCCATTGTACAACGAAAGACTTCATAACTCTGTGGAAGACTTTGTAATAACATTATCACCAATAATTCTTTATTCACCTCGATTTCCATCTCTTGTAATTTATCGATAGCATCAAAGAAATTATTCAGGTGATCTCGGACATCTCCCCCTCCTTCCAGTTTCATTACTGCGAGCTTTTTCAATAATGTTGACTTCCTCTGCGGTCCCTTCGACTGGTAGATTGAATTCAGCTTGTCCCACATCATTTTCGATGTTGCACAGCCCTTAACTAATTTCACTTCAGACGGGCTGATATTCAGAATGATGTCGGATCTGGCTTTTCTATCATCTCTCACCCATTCTGTTGCCCTTTGCTGTGATGCTGCATCGTCAGCTGTCACTTCAGGCTCCACAATTTCTCCAGACACATACCCCCATTCATCATATTTTACGAGTAATGCTTCTACCTGGATTTTCCATGTGTCGTAATTCTCACACCCCGCCACCCCGAAAGTGAGAAAACAATAATTATCATTATTATTTGGCTGTATAATCCCTTCCGCCCTTCCCCCTCCGCCCCCCTTGCTCCAAAGAGCAGAAAAAAAATTATCAATAATTATTATCATTATTTTTTGCCTCTAACCCCTTCCACCTCCCTCCCCCACACTCCGCCGCCCCGAAAAAGAAAAAACAATTATTATCATTATTTTGTGGCTCTATAACCCCTTCGTTCCCTCCCCCTCCGCCACTGTGCTCCAAAAAGGTTAAAAACAATTATCAATAATTTTTATGATTATTATTTGACTCTAACCCCTTTCACCCCCTCCCCCACACCCCACCGCCCTGAAAATGAGAAAACAATTATTATCTTCATTTTTTGGCTATATAACCACTTCATCCCCTCCCCCTCCACCTCTCTGCTCCACAAAAGGGAAACAAAATTATTAACAATTTTTATGATTATTAATTGACTCTAACCCCTTCCACCCCCTCCCCCACACCACGCCACCCCGAAAAAGAAAAAACAATTATTATCATTATTTTGTGGCTCTATAACCCCTTCGTCCCCTCCCCCTCCCCCACTGTGCTCCAAAAAGGTGAAAAAAATTATCACCAATTTTTATGATAATTGTTTGACTCTAACCCCTTTCACCCCCTCCCCCACACCCCGCCGCCCTGAAAATGAGAAAACAATTATTATCATTATTTTTTGGCTCCATAACCACTTCATCCCCTCCCCCTCCACCTCTCTGCTCCACAAAAGGGAAAAAAAATTATTAACAATTTTTATGATTATTAATTGACTCTAACCCCTTCCACCCCCTCCCCCACACCACGCCACCCCGAAAAAGAAAAAACAATTATTATCATTATTTTGTGGCTCTATAACCCCTTCGTCCCCTCCCCCTCCGCCACTGTGCTCCAAAAAGGTGAAAAAAATTATCAACAATTTTTATGATTATTATTTGACTCTAACCCCTTTCACCCCCTCCCCCACACCCCGCCGCCCTGAAAATGAGAAAACAATTATTATCATTATTTTTTGGCTCCATAACCACTTCATCCCCTCCCCCTCCACCTCTCTGCTCCACAAAAGGGAAAAAAAATTATTAACAATTTTTATGATTATTATTTGACTCTAACCCCTTCCACCCCCTCCCCCACACCCCGCCGCCCCAAAAGTGATAAAACAATAATTATCATCATTATTTGGCTCTATAATCCCTTCCGCCCTCTCCCCCTCCGCCACTCTGTTCCAAAAAGGGGAAAAAAATCAATAATAATAATCATTATTATTTGGCTCTAACTCAAAAAACAATAAAAAAACAATAATTAATGTAATTATTTAGTTCTGTAACACCTTCACACCCTCTCCCCCTCGCCTCTGCTCTAAAAAGGAAAAAATCTATCAACAGTAATTTTCATTATTATTTGGTTCTAACCCCTTCTGCCCCCCTTCCCTTACACCGCGCCGCGCCGAAAATGAAAAAACAAAAATTAACAATAATGAGTATTAAGATTTGGTTCTAACCCCTTCGCCCCCCTCCCCTTCTCCCGCAGCATTTAAAAAATGGAAGAACAAAAATCAACAATGATTTTAACCATTATTTTTGAACCTCATCTCTGACTGTCATTGCTAACCCTCATTGCACCCTTATTACTGACCCTTATTTTTGACCTCAGACTGATCCTTATATCTGACTTTTATTTTGACCCTTATTTGTGACCTTCAATGGGAAGTCAAAATATTCCGGTCAAAATATGAAGGTCAAAGTATAAGGGTCAGAATATAAAATTTGACTATAATGGCCTGGATTGAAGGGTCAGAATGTAAGGGTCGAAAAATGAGGGTTAGAAAGACTTGGGTATGAACCCTCCCCTTCCCTGGGCAATCTGACAATCAGCACTGCATAATTTAAAATAAAATAGCAATGAGATCGGTGATCGATCTTACATTTTAAGATCAATTTGAGTACTTAAAAATTCGGACAATCCGGTCTTACGATTCGGACATTTCGGTCTTAGAATAAGACCGGAGTTTTTGCAGTGATAATCATCAAACATTTCCAGGTAAATGCACCGAAAGCCGATGATTTGCCTTTGACCAGAATTGGTTATGAAGATTATCGAACGCTTCTTAAACCCATTCTTGAGGTATTCATTAGTCATAATCAGGCTAACGTCTCTGCTGAACAATTAGAGAAGGACATTCATGATGTCTACAATTTCGAGAAGCAGCTGAAATTGGTAATCGCAATTTGTTATCTGTACAATACACTGAGAGAAAAACAAACACGCTGTCAAACAAGTCTTGTTTGGGCCAACAAAATCGTTGGTTGAAAATTGGCAAAAAAGAATTTGTTTGGTTCGAATTCGAAAGTCTTTTTTCGACAGCAACGAAATATTTGGTTCAAGCGGCGGATAATTCACACCAGACGGTGCTTTCAGGATGAAAATATCTCATATAGAGGAAAATTTATCAACTAATATTTTATCCCTAAGTTACAAGATTGCTATCATATCACTATTATTGTTTCATTCAAGGGTTCATTTCTTATCTGTGATTATTAGACAGCCGAAACGCAAAACTACTATCCCTTGTTCCGCATAAAACAAAGATTTTTCGGGAGCAAAATACGTATTGGAGTATCGAATAACAAAGGAGTAGTGCTAGAAATGACATTTCTTGCGTCTACAGAGAATGCAGTTTTTTTTTAACTATTAAGGCCCGGGTGTATTATCTTTTAAATGTTATCTGGATTTGTTTTTATCTTTCGTAATCCAAAATTGTCAATTGAGTAGTACATCATTGTGACGTATTGGAATCGATCAATACGTCGATTTAGTTAATAATTATATTAAATAATAATATAACGCTGAATGGTGGGAACGAGAAATGTGATTTCTCTTTCCTGTCACCCAGACATTGGTCAGCAATCCCATGGTGTCATGTAGACATCATGGTAAGCAGTCCCACGGTTTGTGCAAGTCCAGTTCAGGTGTCCTGAACTATTTGACTGTGTTAGTCTGTGTCAATGATGGCACAAGACAATATTAGTACAAAAAACCGTGAGACTGCTTAGCTAAGTAACTTGGGCCCTTGACGAGCTTTGATGAGTTTTCTGGACTCACCAGAGAGCAGAGTACGATCGGGAGTGAAGCTGGACGGACATCCCATATAGAAAAAATTTTGAACTTTTTCAAAGAGCGTTTTTAATTGGGATTCAGAATTAGTTGCAAAAAGTGGAAATTACACATATTTGATTCGCTGTGGCAAATTATGGATTAGCTGTCATTTTCCATGGTGAATAACAAAACACTAACTCCTCATGGGAAGTGACAGCTAGGTATCTCAATTTTCAAAATAGTGGTATGTAGTCATCTGCCATTTTTATGTGATAAAAGTATGATTAAAAAATTCTCCAAAATATTACAACTTTTTTCAAAGAGCCTTTTCCGTAATAAATGTCTTTGTGCAGTGTGGGAAAAGATTTACGAAATCAGTCTTCCCCCTGCATGATATTGGGTGACAGGCCGCCATTTGTCACCCTAAATCAGATACATTTTTCAATTTCTTGTTATTCAACTTATTCTGAATATAAATTAAAAATACTTTTTGAAAAAATAGGGAATTTTGTCCACTTTTTTTTTATTATTCATTCATAATTTTTCAAAACTTCTGCATGATGCAGAACTTAATTGACAATTTCAGATGACGAAAGACGAAAAAAAACATCAAGATAATGTTCGAAAGATAGTACACCCGAGCCTTAAATCTATTTTTGCGACAAAAATTTTTCATTCCGGCACACTCTGCATGTTTGGCACAAAAAAATCTTTTGATAATTTTCAAAAAACTATTTTCTTGGCACAAGTAAGACTTGTTTGAGAACTTTGTCGCGTTTTTCTCTCAGTGTAGAGTTCCCTTTATTTTCCGCTTCCATTATTTGTCTTCTCTTCTCCTCTGGGCTTGTTCTCCCTCAAAAAAGTTTTGCCAGAACTCATGCATTCTGCATTCACATTGCCGGATTAAACCTGGATTAAACCCGAACTGAAGACCAATTCGAGTCTCGAGAGGTTCTGAATGTAGAATTATTTGACAGAACGAAATAATACGCAAAATTTTAATGACATTTCAACTGATGATAGTACTATGACATGAAAAACTAGGAGAAGAGAATAGTGAAATAAGAATTAAAAAACGAGAGCCCATTCGTAAGCAAATTGCTAATCTATTAGCAACAATAACTATACTCATTTATAAAAACAATACCATTGTCCAATTATTTCTAGATGAGGAATCAGTCCAAAGTCGTGATAATAGATTTTCATCCAGAGTTGACATATTTAACGGAAGAGGTAAAATATTAATTCAAATTAACTTTACTAGACCCCCAACTCACTCTCTTATCTTCATAATTATTCATATAATTCAGATTTACTGGAAGAAAATTATTGAACGTCATTACATTCTCAACGGAATTGAACTATACGGGAAGTATCGTGTCAAGTTGGTGGACCCGTATTATCGCCTTCTACCCCAATTGTTGTATTCTACACAAAAGCGTACAATAGGTAATGGAATATTTAATCCATTTTCATTTTCACCCAGAATATAAAGCTAATATCTTTTGCAGTTAATTACATTCATTGGCATTTCGTGAGTCGAGTTTTGAGATATACTACCGAAGAAATGCAGAACATATCCTCTGGGTTTAAAGTGACCCGAAATCGGTTAGTATGATCAGTTTTCTATGTCGAGAGTTGGACAGGAGATAAGTTGGGATATATGATTATCCTCGATTGTATTGCTTTTTGCAATGAGAATAATTGTAAACAATTAATGCCCGGGTGTACTATCTCTCGAATATTATCTGGTTTTTTTTCATCTTTCGTAATCCAAAATTGTCAATTGAGTGGTACATCATATAGAAATTCCCATAAATTATGATAGAATGATACAAAAAAACAAAGAAAAGATTCTAAACTTTTTCAAAGAGCGTTTGTAATTGAGACTCAGAATGAGTTGAAAAAAGTGGCAATTACAAATATCTGATTCGCTGTGGCAAATTATCTATTAGCTGTCATTTTCCATAGTGGATAGCAAAACACTAACTCATCATGGAAAGTGACAGCAATGTATCTCAATTTTCAAAACAGTGGTATGTACTCATCTTTCATTTTTATATGACAAAAGTGTGATTAAAAATTTTCTAAAATATTACAACTTTTTTCAAAGAGTCTTTTCCGTAATAAATGTCTCTGTGCAGTGTGGGAAAAGATTTACGAAATCAGTCTTACCCCTGCATGATATTGGGTGACAGGCCGCCATTTGTCACCCTAAATCAGATACATTTTTCAATTTCTTGTTATTCAACTTATTCTGTATATAAATTAAAAATGTTCTTTGAAAAAATTAAGAATTTCTTCTACTTTTTTTGATTATTCATTTATAATTTTTCAAAAATTCTGCATGATGCAGGACTGAATTGACAATTTCAAATGACGAAAGATGAAAAAAACATCGAGATAATATCGTTCGATACTCGTAGGAAAAGTGTTTTTTGACTCACCTTCGGCTCGTGCTATAAACCTCCCACGAGCCAAAAAACACTTTTCCGCACTCGTAATGAAATATACTAATTCGTTGACTCGTAAACGAAAAGTAAACGAAATAGTATATTTTGAGACAAGTGCAGAAGAGTATATTTCGCGACGAAAGGGACATTTTTCACGCTTCGCGTGCCTAAAATGTCCCTTTTCCACACATTGTGATGAAAAGTCTTTTTGTTTACTTGTAAACGAAAAAGGCACAATTCGCCCACTCCCTGAACGTAACATTACTGTCAAAAAATATTATTCGACACATGTGAGACGGGAATTTTCAGCTCGTGTGATTGGCTGTCCTCGGCATATCTCCCTTTTATCAGCCCTCGTATCGAAACATACTATTCTGGCGAGTGTGAGTTTGCAGCCCACCGATGGTTGCCATAATATGAGCTAGAAAAGTTTTTTTATGCCGTGTGAAGAACAATATTTTTTGTCATTTGGCCCGAAAACCGCGATTTAACCGAGTGAAGCGAGATTAAAATTGCGGTTTATTGGACCCAGTGACGAAAAAAAATACTCATCACTGAATATTTCGTAGTGAGCGGGAATGTCTTAAGGAAACAAAGATGGTCTGTGCTGAGGGATATTGGTTCGCTGAAAACTACTTTGGAAATGACAGTCGTGAAGCTGTGAATATAATGACAATAATATTCTCAATTTATCTATCATACAGTGATCCATGTATATTCTCCATTTTTTAGGTTAAAAGAATAGCAGAAAATGTGCAAAACGAATTGCGTCATCAAATAAATAATTCCAATTGGCTGCCTGAAGATATTAAACAGGCATTCGTAGAAAACGTTGATAGAACTGAAATTTTAGTTGGAATGCCAGATTGGTACAGGAATCGGACGGCCATTGAACATCATTATAAAGAGGTATGCAAATTGGGTCCAAGTTTTAAAAACTCCCGTTAAAAAAACCTTCGTCAGAACAACTTGATAACTAAAAAAAAATTGAAAACAAGTTTTTCACGTTTTTGACCAGGTTTTTTTGACCAAGTTTTTTACACGTGCTCCCGGCACGTTAAACTTTTTAAACTGTTTATCACGATGCATTGGAAAAAACGTAGAGTATAATTTGAAGTAATTGATGTCTGCAGTTGACGATTGGTTTAGACTATTTGAATAATTGTTTGAGCTTCTGGAGGTACCAGAAGAGGTACACTTTCAACTTGTTAACCAGAGCCGAAAGTCTGAACAGGTAATGGATGAAAGACTCAATGCTGATAAGAAAATCACTTCAGATTTTTGTTACAATGGTATATTTTTGCAGATGGGCTATATCTCCCGTGAAGGCGAACGCCGCGTATCGGTTCCCTCATAACCAAATCGGTGAGTAAACCTAATTTGGTTCTATATTTTCAAGTCGTTGACGTGAAAATCTCTATGGAAGAGTGAATATCGTATGCTATTTTTTGAAATTTTCACTCATAGTTTCGATATTTCATTTTAGTCATAAGTGCAGGTTATCTCCAACTGCCTTTCTTCGGTTCCACAGTGTCTGAGTAAGTTTTGAATGAATATCATGGGCTAGAATTTAATATTTTTGCTTCCGAATGAAGGCATTGTATTCGTCAAATACGAAATTTCAATTTTTTGAATCAAGATAACTAATTTTTAAACCAATAAAAATTTTAACGTTGGGGCAATGTTGTCTGCCAAGGTCGGGACAATGTTGGGCCAATGTTGGTTCAATGTTGGCTGCCAAGGTTGGGGCAATATTTACTTGAATGAATCATTGAAATTCAGTTGGAAATATATCGTCGTAGAAAATTTCATTCGGAAACAAATTTTTAATTTATCAGAAAAAATATGTTGATTGTGCTGTGACAAAAGCAATTTCCCACTTGTGTTCATTTTTTCTTCTGCTTCTAGTTACCTGAATTACGGAGTAATAGGTACCGTAATTGGTCACGAATTCGGTCATATATTCGATAGTAAAAGTAGGTTCGACTAAATTTTACTGAATTAATCAAATATGTATTTGATGTATAAAGGCTAGAGTGTCCGGGGGGGAGCCGGAATTGATCGGCGACCCCCCTCAATGTTGATATTGTGAACGAGTGAAATTACCGCGAAGTATGGGCACTGTCGGCCCATTCTAAGGGGTCCCGCAGTGACAATTTCCATTTCCCATAAGAAATACACAGGGAAAAACTCAACTGAATGGTTGAACTTGACTGTCAGTACGAATTTGCGAGTTTTATCCCTGAAAATGACGGAAATTGTAAGTGTTAGAGTCAATTGAGATAAGAAAAATTTCATGTCATGATTTCAATGTTACTATAAAAAGTTATTAACAATGAAAATATTAACTTCGATGGATTTGCGAGATGGAGTACTTGTAAAAATCTCAAAAAATTCAATTGACGTTTAAATGGATAGACAATGACGTGGACTCATGTTTCTACCTTTTACAGTCATTTTCTGATGTTTATAACAATTGTTCTTGATGAAAAAATGCATGAAATCTCATTTTCTGAGTTGCAATAGTTTTCACAATAATTTCATAGATTCAAATTTTTGTTTTCCAAACTTTTTGAGCATCCGAGCTCAAAAATTACGGATAAAATAATTTTTAAACATGTAAAACAAGCAGAGGAAAGCCTGATTCACTCACCAGAATCAGTCGGTCCTTGGGAAAAGAAAAAGGCATTAAGTTTAAGTGACAGTAACCATAAAGATAGCGTGAAATATTGTAGTCCACCTAGGAGACAGGTGTTGAAAGAGAAGAAGACCAAGAAATAAGTTTTAAATCATGTTTTTATTTACAACAAATTCGACGGGAAAAAATTCTTGATAGAAATATGCTTCAAATCATTTCAGAAACTTAAATTCAATGAGATTTGATGAGCGAATGGACTCTAATTCGGGTAGAACTGCCCATTTATGGAACATTTAGTCCTAAAAACGGAACACCTTAAAGTGTTTATTATGAAAATCTTCTGACCTCAAAATGTTCAGTATGACGTCATGGCCGGACCAATAACTTTTTGATTGAAATATTGTATGCGTGTTGAATTGTCGTACATGAACAAGTTTAACCAAAATATCAAATTTGTTCCGTTCTTTGGCCGTGTTCCGCAAATGGGCAATTCACCCTGACTGGAATAAAAAGAAAAAATTATGAGAAGCAGCAAATTTTGATTCACAAATGATTATTTTTTTATTCTCTTCTTTGCAATCTTGTAAACTTCATTTTTGTTTGGATTAGGATGATCCTTTCGATGATTTTGAATAATCTGAAGTGAACATTGTTTTTGTCCCTCATTCTTAGTGAAAGATTTATTGAATTTTTGTATGAGAGCAACACCTCTCTCAGCAACATCATTAGTCACTTTCAAATTCCTTAATTTGCTCAGACCGAGTTGATAATCGCTATCAGATGACCATTCATCGGGATCTTTAGCCAAAAAACCGGTGGGTATCGCAAATATCTCAAATAAACTACATGATTCGCTCGTGACAAAGTCGCTTAAATCTTTTGCTAAGAATGATTTACAATCTTTTGTTTTCACAGTGATTCTCTTCAAATTCTGTCGTTTACTCTTTCTCATATTCATTGCTTCTCTCATTCTAATCTTAACATCTCTTGAGACTGATCCATCGAAAAACCCCAGAGCGATCAATTCCTCTGACAAATACTACAATTGTTCCGTAGCCTTCGAAAGTGCCGCGTTAGCAATTTTTGGATTGATCTTTGAATATTCTACTAATCGTTGAATCAGTGTTAAATCGGAAAGAGGAGCTTGAATGGCACTGGGGGCAGTAAACCAATATTCTATGTAATGAAGAATAATGAAAATACATATTTCGCGCAATCCCTCAACTTCTGAAGCTTCCAATTCAAATTGAGTAGCGAAGCGGTAAACCGGGTTAAGTCGATTTTTACTATTGGCTAGTTTTTGACGAATATCTCGGAATCTAAAAGAGATAGAAAGATTTTTGTCATGACCTTTTTTTGTAGAGCCAATAGAGCGTTATAAAAAAAATCATGAGAAAAATTTTACTATCTCTCTTAGATTCCGAGATATTCAGCAAAAACTGGCTAATAGTCAAAATCGACTTAACTTGGTTTACCGCTTCACTACTGAATTNACTTCCAATTCAAATTCAGTAGCGAAGCGGTAAACCGGGTTAAGTCGATTTTTACTATTGGCTAGTTTTTGACGAATATCTCGGAATCTAAAAGAGATAGAAAGATTTTTGTCATGACCTTTTTTTGTAGAGCCAATAGAGCGTTATAAAAAAAATCATGAGAAAAATTTTACTATCTCTCTTAGATTCCGAGATATTCAGCAAAAACTGGCTAATAGTCAAAATCGACTTAACTTGGTTTACCGCTTCACTACTGAATTGATCTTTGAACATAAAAATTTTCAGACTGTAAATTGCTTTCGCCAACCATCGTGCGTGATGAGCTGCTCCAGGGACTTTGAAATTTATTCCACGAGGTGGTACCGCACCCAGAAATATAGAACCTAATTCTAATAGTTCCCGATAGTCATCTCGTGGTTGAAAATGCTGGAAATGTTTGACAGAATTGAACGAGAAATAGAAGAGAAAATCGATCTATAAAAGGAAAAAGTAAGGTGCTTACAGAGAGCAAATCAGATATCAGAATTGCAATAGAGATCTATTGAATATTCTAACAGAAAATTTCTGTCGATTGCGCTAAGAACTGAATCATATTGAATGAAGATTACAATTCAAACGTCAGTTACAATGATAAAATCCGACAATATACCTGAAACTGTTTGTTTATGAATTCCAGGATCTCACGTCGTTTATTTCCTATTCTCCCAGCAATTTTAGGATCATCCAAACCGATTTTGAATTTTGAAGTATCAGTTTTGGGCCATTCTCGTTTGAAATTCTCGAAAATAGTCACATTTGGGCCTATGGTTACTGGCCAGCAGGTTTCGAAGACTTTCCTCAACATGATTTCAGGGATGTGATGTCGACAAGCCAAATCCAATATTCTTCGCCCTAATTTCTCCTCAATTAGTGCGCAAGCTCCATTCTTACGACCTGTCGAGTGGAATCTCAGACTAGATTAATTCCGAGTCATTTTAGTATTGAATTCATCTCATTACCTGTATTGACACTCGTTGTATCAAAACATAGCCCCTTGACTTGATCTGTTATCCCCCACTCGTCCAGAGCCTCTAATACAGCAATAGCTGTGGCAATTCCAGTGGGCGTTTCCAATTTTGGGATACCCAATAATTGTTCAGTATCAGAACCTGATGCTAAAATTGCTAGTCTTTCCACTTTTCTACTTCCTTTCTTTTCATCATCATCATAAGTCGTCAGGAAATTCCACATTTTCTTTAAACTCAGCCACCATCTCTATTCGCATTTTTATACGATTTTCATGGATTGCTGTCTTACTAATGCTGTAATTCTGAATGTCGAGGCCAAGACTTCTCAGGAGAGCTGCGAATATGTAGGAAGCATCACGACTGGACGTATTTGTTCTGTCAAGAACTGCAACAAGCTCCGGCGTCATGGTATTCATTTTTTCACTCCAAGGATTGCTCTCAAGTTCCTCTTCATAGTCCGAAATCTCCCCCTCTGAATCATCATGATCATCGCTAACTGCCATATTTGTGGATACTGAACGATACGAAACTGAAGCAAATTATAATCATTTTTAAAAAAATTTTTTCTGGAAAATCGACTGACGGAAAGATTTTTAGAAATAACAATAGATTACCAGACTCATCATCATCTTCATCCATTTCTTCAACATTGAAAATTTCATCCGCACCTGAGAAGAAGATAATCGCTAAAGAATCCTTCT